CTTGGTTAGTCATGCCCAGGAAATAAAAGGGATCAGAACACTTCCTTAGGAAGCAGTTGCCCAGTGTGGATGAAGCCACATGGGTGTGTTTCCCTCACAAGAGTAGGACATCCGGGACTGAGCAAATGCATCTGTAAACACACACACACACACACACACACACACACACACAGTGAGAGACAGACAGCAATCTCATGGGCAGAGGGTTGATTCTAGCATGTGGGTGTTGTTTAATACTGCTTTAAGGTAGAACAACGACTGAACAGAATCTGATTCACTTAAATCCCTTTGCTTATTCTAAAAGAACCACAGGTTAGGAATGGTCTGGAGAAGGAACTCACCCCTGTCTTTGGCAAGACCTAAAACTGGCATCAAACCAGACCTGGTTTTGATTCCTGCTGTAGCTCTCTGCAACCTAGGACAAACCATTTGACCTCAAACCCTTGAGTTTTGTTAAGTTAATAGCTATCCTGTAGTGCCTTTCAAAGAAGACATTGAGAATATATGTAAGCCATGTCACTAGGCTAGTTCCTCACCATTCTCTACCTCTGTCACTTTTCCTTTCTTTTCAGCTGAAGGAAGTGGAGGAACTTCTCTAGGAAGAACGTACTCAGAGAGGAGGATCTAACTCACTGTCCACTGTCCGGACCTCAGTCTATCACTGTCTGCTTCACAATTCAACACCATCACAACACAGACATGAACATTTTGTCTTGCAAAGGCTTTCCTTTCTAGGCAGTAAGTGTGCCTCCCAGGTGAGCCCCCCGCTATTTATCTTGTGGTCCCTTTCCAAGTGCTCCGCCCATGGTAAAGACTTACAGCTTAGCTGGAAGCTTTGGGGGTCTCTGTTAGAGAGAAAAGGTGTGGAAGCAGAAGAAAGACAGTGTCCTGACTCTTTGGGCTAGTGCTGGCTTTCCAAAGGCTTAGGGCAATAGTTCCCAACCTCCTCAGTCCAATGCCCCCTTTTTTTCTCCTGAACAATAGTCATATGCAATACAAACTAGATACCTACTTTCAAAAGGTAAATTGAATACTCTAACGTATTATAAAGGTGAAATTAAAAATTAATTTATAACAAAATGGAAAGTATTATAACCAACTGAACCACCTGGGCACCCCAAAAATGGAAAGCATTTTAATATGTCACGTCAGGCATGACTACACATATGATATAGTAGTCAAAGCCTTGAACCCGATACAGAATCCTTGTGAGCACGACAGCAAAAGATGCACAAGTATCAGCCGCTCAAATATCACGGGCAGCAGTGTCCTGGATGACACGGGTTTCTGAAATGGTGAGCAACTCTCAGTAAAAGTTCTGAACAAAGCAAATGATAAGTTCCTTCAATCTACACATTAGTTGCATTTCTAGGAAATGCAGTGTTTAAAATGGCTCAAAAAATACTTTGTGTTCATATGTAAAATGAAGCTGAGTCCAAGGATCCCTCAGATAAGGGGTCACTCACCTACACTGCTATCCGGTGGGACTCTTAAAAGACACGTGAGATGTGCGGCATTTTGCTTGGCACTGTCCTGGTCACTGCAGTACACCTAGCATCTTTGGCCCCAAGACATGAGATAATACCAGGAGACCCTCCTCCATGCTCACCCAACCCCCCATAGATGAAGATAACAAAAAAATGACCCTCACGGATTTCCAAAACATCCCCTAGAGGGCAGTACATCCCCCTGTTGCGAAGTGGCTGAGGGGACCACATGAGACCTGGAACCCTCCCGTGAGTTAAGGAAGAGTTGGGTTTCCTTTCACGATGCCCTCATCTCCTCACCCTCAGACTTCGTGTGAGCCTGTGGACCCTCCCTCCTTCCTAGGCCCATATACCATCCCTACCTCCCAAGTTCTGAGACCCATTTCACTCTCCGTTTCAGGCCATCCAGCACCAGGGAAGGAGCTGGATAAGATCGATGGGATCAATGGAATTCTAGATTGGAGGCTGGCAGAGCAGTCAAGGAAAGCCAAATATGGTCCTTCCCTGGAAGGAGGGCGGGGGGTCAGGGAGGATCCAGATCTTACCTATGTGGGCCGCAAGAGACCAAGTAGATATGCCTGAGCTCAGCTAAGGGAAGCCCTACCCTCAGGCTTGGCTGGACAACATCCATGCCTTCCGGGCTGTCTGCCTCCACTCAGCCAGTCCCTCCCCAAGGTGGTACAAGGAGCAGAGTCTAGAGCCAGACTGCCGTTCCTGTCCTTGCTCCACCATTCGCTTTAATTTGAAAGCTTATTTGATCTCTCTGTGCCTCAGTTTCTTCATGTGTAAAATGGGGATAATAGTATCTATGTCATAGGGGTCTAAGAATTACATGAGTTGATATATGCAAAAGTGCCTGGCACGTAGTGATTTACAAATCTTAGATACTAACATGGTCATCACCATTCATGCCTTTCAGGGAGCATTAGGCTAAGGAGTACCCCAAACTGGGGGATGAGCATTCCTAAGGACCCCAACTTCGAAGAAACTGAAGCTGACGGAGTTACGTGTGAGTAAGGACGCTCGCAGCTAATCTAGCAGAGATGGCTCCCTTGTTTCATTCTTTGAAGGTCTAGGTGACTGGGGAGTAAGAAAGGCCAATTACCACCATCATCATCACCATCAACATCATCATCATACTAAGGGAAAAATAGAATGCTGGATGGAAGAGGGAGGGCTGTCGCTAACAAGGCTGGGTGGAGGAGGGATGTGGTCCAGAAGGGAATAAGGAAGTGTCTCCTGCACCCTTGAGAAAGGGCTTACTTTCTGACCATCTATGGTCTGTGAGTCTCTGCCTTTGTAGATCTCGAGTCCGAGCGGCTACCCAAAAGACCAGAAAAGAAACAAACTTCCCGACCTCTGAACCCTCGGTCTTCAGAGGCACAGGCAGCAGAAGTGCTGCATTTGGAGAGAAGATGGTGAAGAACAGGAAGGAACAGGTCACTGGAGAGTGATTCCCATAAGGGCTGGGTCTCAGGGACCAAGTACAGCAGGAACAAAGTCGCTCCCAAGAATAGCCCCCCCCCGCCCACACACGCACACACGCACACTGCAAAAAGCCCCAGAAATAAAGGAAACACAGCAAGGGCAAGAGGGGCAGAGAGAGGCAGAATTGGGCAGGAAGGGCAGCTCCCCAAAAGGACATTAGGGCAGGAGTCAAGTGCAAGAGAAAGAGACAGACATGGGAGAGCTGCCTCTATACTGGGACCAGATCAAGGAGAGGTCAAGAGTCCTTCCCAGCAAGGACTCCAAGTCCCTGAAAGTAGGTTGTCCCAGGAAGCAGGATCCTTGTCCCCTTTAGCTGCCTGAATTTCTCCCAAAACCTTCACCTTCAATTCTGGGCTCTGGGGACATATTCTGAAGTACTGCCCCTGCTCAGATCTCCAGACCTCTTCCACTTCCGTCAGGGTCATCCTCCCAGCTCGACCACCCTCCCAACACAGATGGAAAAGCACCGAAGGTGTATCAGTGATAAGACATGTGACAACTGAATTTGCTGCTTTTCCCCTTGACTGTTTCCGCCGGCCTCTTCTGCTAAAGCCATGTAGTAGAGCACTCCCCAACCCCCCCAGACTTGCAGTGTTTGCTCCACAAATCAAAGCACCCAAGAATAATTCCTTACTGACCGATACTCCAGGATTGTGTCTCCAGCAGCAGGAACCAGAGGAACAGGGAAGAGACATAGGGCTCTAGGGCCCTATGCAAGAGCTCCCAGCCCAAGCCCGGGGTGCCAAGGAGGAGCTACAGGAGGAGAAGAGGGTCAGTTCGAGTCCCGTGCAGCCGGAATAAGCAGACTGGCCCAGAGGAACTAGCTTCGAGAACCTTTACTGAGAACTACCACTGGCTCCGTGAAAGATGCCCAAATCTTTCTGGTTAGAACTGTCTTGCCCAAAGCTACAGACTGCATTTTTGCTACAATGCCCTTTCTTTTAAAAGACGTCTTGAGGGCAAGTGTAATGCTTCTAAAGCAAAAAATGGTGAAGGCTGAAAAAACACGCGGAAAAACATTTCAGCACCGTACTCCAGATCAGTGTGGCAAAAAACCCAAAAGGCCGATAACCCCCCATGCAGCGGAGCCAACGGGAGCGGGCTGATGGCGAACCCTGCTGTTGCCTTAGCACCCCAGCTCTCAGAAGCCCAGATCGCTGGGAGCAGGGAGCACCTATCTTACCTCAGTGTCCGCAGGGCCAGACCCAGACGAGGCACAGCCAACACCCATCTCATGTCCATGGAATATCCTGCAGCCACAGGCTTGCTAGGCAAGGGTCAACCTCCGGTATAGGTTTCCTTCCAGGGCTATTGTCCCTTGCTTCCTACGCCCAGCCGCTACGTGGTTTCAGCATCGGCATTTTTTTTTTTTTTTTGACTTTAGGATTTTGTTTATTCATTTATTTATTCATTTGAGAGCAAGGGAGAGAGGGGGGCAAAGGGAGAGGGAGAAAGAGAATCTCAAGCAGACTCCCCGCTGAGCACAGAGCCCCAAAGAGGGGCTCGATCCCACAACCCCGAGATCAGAACCTGAGCCAAAACCAAGAGTCGGACGCTCAACAGACGGAGCCACCCTGCGGCCCCACAGCTCCTGTATTCTTGAATCAGGAAAGGAACGGTGAATGCTAAGAAGTGAAGAGAGTGTGTGAGAATGAGCTTTTCTTGCTTGATCTTCCAGGATTCGGCTTCCAGTCTCAATGTATAGAGACCAGTTCTCAGCAGTGTGAGCTCCCTGGAATGCCATCATTTTATTTAATTCATGGTTTAAAATCTTCAGCATGACAGTGGTGTTCTCTACTGACCCAGAGTCGTCTTCTCCTTCCCCTAAGTTAGAGAAACAGTGGGAGGGAGAGGGAGTGTGGGAGGAAAACAAAGCAGGAGGGACGGCGAGTGCAGGTCATTTGGGGATAGGGGGCAAGGAAGGCTGGGTTTGTTTTCCACAGAATAGATCCCAAGAGTGCTTTGAGCCAGAAGGCGAGCGGGAAGGCGGCTAGCAGCCTCGCAGGTGTGCATGGGGGTGGTGACAGTCGCATACAGAGACCGTGTGGGCGGTAAATCAAGGTGAGGGCAAGGTCAGGGGATGGAGGAGGGAGGAAGGGATGGGTTTCCTCTACCGCTTGCTTGGGCGGTGTTGGTTCCTGTGCTGTGGTGTGATCCACACCCTCCCTGAGGCCACATTCACATTTGTCCCAAAAAAAATCAGAAGTAGAGGCTAGATGACCCCACTGGGGATTTGTTTTGTTGTTTTTAATCATGATTAAACATGCTCGAATCACAGAGCGGCTATTCCACTCTGCTCTGACTCCACAGTGCGGGAGGTGGGAACTACAGGGGTCCCTGGGTTGGTGTGGTCTCTAGGGATGGCTGGATTTGGGAGGTTAGAGGTAGGCAGGGTAGCAGAAATCCTTCATCTAGTCCACATTTACTGGCAGTAGTGGTGTCTCCCTTACCTTTCTTTCATCCCCAAATCTACTCTAGGCCCACCTCTCTGCCCATGCCCCTCTGAAACCTCTTCTTCCTCTGCCCCAATGGTCCTGGACTGGACGGTGAAGGAAATTCCTCTGGCCTCCACCCATCCCACGCTCCCTTCCTCGGAACTCGCCTACTCAGCATGCACTAATGTGGAAGGTGCTTGATCTGGGTCTGCCTTGAGCAGAGGGAGGGTCCAGTCCCCTCTGTCGCTTAGTTCACAGGAGGGAAGGTGGGTGTGTTGGTGCAGAAGGATGTAAGGGCAGAAACACGTTACCTGAAGTGTGACTGTTGCAACCGGTGGAACAATGCTCAGGCCCACCCTCGGGCACCCTATTCTGAAGGTTCTCCCCTCCCCCCAGCACTGTCCGGGGTCCCTCTCAGCCTTAAAGCCTCTGTTCTTCAACCTCACAGGCCAGGCACGGGTACTGGTCAAGGAGGCTTATCCCAAAGACAAACTGGTCCGCCCTTAGGCAAGTGGCTGCCAGTTGAATTCTTCATCTTCCCCCACATTCCTTGAGCCTCTACTATTGTGATGGCAGGAGGGGGGACCAGAGAAAATAATAGATAGGGTTGAACTTGCCTCAACAAGAGGCTAGAGGGACAAAGAGACAAAGACACATAGGAGTCAGGCTGCGGTGAAGGGGAGAGAAGGGAGAGAGTGAAGGGCAAGGCTGGTGGTTCAGGAGCTGGGATCCTTTTTCCTTTTCTGGAATCTCCGGAACTTGCCCTGAATGGCAAGGGCGGCCTTCTCTGTTTCCGGCGCAGTCAGGTCAATGTCAATCTCCTCCTCCTCCTCAGCCTTCTTGGCATTGCCAGCTTTCCCTGCAGATAGTTGAGAGAGTCACTGATGAGTAAACCTGCATTGCCCCAGCCCCTTTCTCCAGGCCTCAAATACAATAGTTAGGGTCCATTTCCTGCTAGGCTCTGGGAGGTTCTCCGATCTTTGCTAGGACCAGAAATGTCTGATTACTCTCCTGGAAGACTGAGTCGGGGTACCTAGGTTGAGAAGTAGCTCAACTTACTCAGGAGCTTTGCCACTCTTAGACCAAGAGGACAAATGTCATCTATCATCACTTATTCCTCAGTCTTACAACTCAAAGTCCCAGAGCATACTGACTTTACCCAGCTTTCCCCCAATTTCTGCTTGAGACAGTGGCTGGATAATCTCACGAGCTTCCTTCTATCACGGTGCCTGTTTCCAAGCATTGCAGAGCCAGAATCAAGGAGTAAATACCAGTAGATTTCCTTTTTAGGAAAAAGTGGAAGAACGCCTACAGGTATAGTGGTTCTTGCCTCGTGCTTTGTTTCACTTGTCCACATTCTTATTCCAACTACATCCGACTCTAGGAGCTTCCAGACTTATGGCCCTACCTGTCCTCCCATCCCTGTATTCACGCGCTCTACATACCACCAGACCTGACACCACTCACCTTTTTCCTCTGGGCCAGGTGCCTGGTTGGTTGCTGGGGATGTTTTAGTATTCAGCTGGAAAAGAAAAATCAGAGTATTAGATGTTCATAGAAGTATTAAGGTGCTGTCCCCATAGACTCATCATCAACACTTTTAAGTCCTCCTTTTACCGGGTGCACTCCTCAGTCTTCTGAAGATCAGAGAGAGGGAGAAAAGTCCTCAAAACTCAAAACAACAAGGGGCGCCAGGGTCCTGGGATCAAGCCCCACATTGAGCTCCCTTCTCAGCGGGGAGCCTGCTTCTCCCTCTCCCACTCCCTCTGCTCGTGTTCCCTCTCTCACTGTGTCCCTCTCTGTTAGATAAATAAATAAAATCTTTAAAAAAAATCATTCAACAAGCATTTATTGGTACTAGAAACATTGCAGAGGACAAAACAGAAAAAACCCTGCCCTCATGGGGTTACATTCTAGTATACAGAGAGAATATTAAACAGAATGTTAGGTTAGGGGGTGATAAGTGTTGCTGAGGAAAGACCGGGAAGCAGGTAGTGAGTGCTCGTGGGAATGGAGAAATACAGTTTTACCCAGAGTGGTCAGGAAAATTCTGTCTGAAAGTAGCATTTGAGCCAAAGGCTAAAAGAGATAAAGGAGGAAGGGTTACCCGAGTCTAGGCAGGAGGTGCTGATGGCCATGGGAAGTGAGAGGAGCCTATCGAGGAGTAGCAAGAGTCTGATGCAGCTGGAGTAAAGAGAGGAAGGAAGCAGGAGGAAGGGGGATGGAGACTGGTCAGAGAGAACTCGGGTGGGTAGATGATGTAGGATCTTGGGAGTCTTCTTAAGGAGTCTGACTTTTACAAGTGAGATGAGAAGGCACTGGAGACCATCACTTTGCACAAAGAGGGCACGAGGGAGGAAGCAGGAGAACCTGATAGGAGGTTACTGCAGAGAACGAGGCAGGAAATCATGGTTGCTTGGGTCTGCACAGGGGGCACTGGGGGTGGTGAGGCGTGGTTCGATCTTGGGTATATATTTTTTTTAAGATTTTATTTATTTATTGACAGACAGAGATCACAAGTAGGCAGAAAGGTAGGCAGAGAGAGAGGAAGGGAAGCAGGCTCTCCGCTGAGCAGAAAGCCTGATGCGGAGCTCCATCCCAGGACCCTGCGATCATGACCTGAGCCGAAGGCAGAGGCTTAACCCACTGAGCCACCCAGGCGCCCCTCAATCCTGGGTATATTTTCAAGCTATGACCAAAGGGACTAGGTTGATGGGATAAGTGGCATTTTTGAGAAAGTGGTCAAGGATGACTCCAAAGTCTTTGGCTTGAAGAACTGGAAAAAAAAGAAAAAGAAAAAGAAAAAGAAAAAAAGAATTGTCATTTCCTGAAATGGAGAAGACAGCAGGAGCAGCAGGTTTAAAGAAAAAGAGAAGCCTATTAATCACTCAAGAGGAGATGTTTTTATAAGCTGCTGGATATCCAAAAGGAGTTAGGGAGCAGGACCTGGCTTAGAGATAGAAATGAGCCTGTTATTTACATATGGATGACATTTAAAGCCACCAGACTGGAGACCACCATTAGATAAAGAAGGGAAAAGCGTCAAATCCTGGGTCATTCCAGTGATGAGAGGTTGTAGAAAAAAGAGGAAAAATCACTAAGGAAAATTGAGAAGTCAAGTAGGAAGAAAGCCAAGAGATTATAGGGATTTAGAAAGCATGTCAAGAAACTATTTCAAGCAGGAGAGAGTGATTGGTTGCATCCAATTCAGCAGGTGGGCCAAGTAAGATAAGCCGGGATTGGACACTGGGTTTTATTGTATGGAAATCACCGGGGGCTTTGACAAGAAAAGTCACAGTGCAAGAAGGGAGCAAAAGTCTGGGTAGAATGGGTTTGTGAGGAAAATGGAGGAGAGACACTGAAGCAGCAAAGAGAGAACAAGTTCCCCAAAAATGGGGGTGGGGGATATTTGAGGGGGATACAGGGCTTGAGATGATTTGACTTAAGATGGCAGAAATTTATAGAATGATTGTGTTTTATGAAAATGATTCAGGAGAGCCCAGGTGGCTCAGTCGGTGAAGCATCTGCCTTTGGCTCAGGTCATGATCCCAGGGTCTTGGGATCAAATCCCACGTCAGGCTCTCTGCTCAGTGTGGAGTCTGCTTCTCCCTCTGCCTCTGTGGCCCCCTGCTTATGCTCCTGCTCTCTTTCTCTCTCTCAAATGAATAAAATATAAAAAAGAAAGAAAGAAAATGACTCAGTAGAGAAGGACAAACTGTAGGACAGAAAGAGGATCCTTGCAGGAGGAGAAAGAGAATGAGATCTAGTGCATGAGCAGTGGGTGGCCCCAAACAGGATAAGGACAGATCACCCACAGTAACTGGAGGGAAAGTAGAGCTTGTGGGCCCAGAGGCAAGGCAGGTAGGGACATGTACAAGGTCTCTTCTCATTGCTTCTGTTTTTGAAGTAAAATAGGTAACAAGGGGGGCGCCTGCGTGGCTCAGTGGGTTAAAGCATCTGCCTCCGGCTCGGGTCATGATCCCAGGATCCTGGGATCGAGCCCCGCATCGGGCTCTCTGCTTAGCGGGGAGCCTGCTTCTTCCTCTCTCTTTCTCTGCCTGCCTCTCTGCCTACTGGTGATCTCTGTCTGTCAAATAAATAAATAAAATCTTTAAAAAGAATAGGTAACAAGGTCATCATCCAAGAGGAGCAGGGAAGAGGTCTTGAAGAAAGGCGAAAGAAGATTTGCGATACTCGTCTAAGGAAAGCAGGAAAGTGATGGAACTGGTGGTAATAGCATTGCTGGGAAGCACTGGGGCCCCCTCCTAAGTCCAAGGCCATGAATTTGAAATTAGATTAGTCAACTGATATGTGTGTTTTTTCTAGCCTCTCTGTCCAGATGGAGAGTTCAAGTTAAAATAATAGTAATTCCCCATCCTCGGAATTGTATCAATAGAGTTGCTCCATCTGGACACTCCTGTCTCAAACACACTTCATCTTGAGACCAAGTCATCCCGTGGGCTCCTGGGTACACGTGGAGTCTGTTTACTCATTTCACAATCTGAGTATTTGCTATTTGCTAAAATACAGGAACTGAGGGCTTCTCACGAAGGTTCTGTATCTCATCCTTAGAATAGTTCTGTGGAGTACACGGCATCCTCCCTCATTTTACCGAAGCAAACCTTGGTGGAATGACTGCCAGGTATCAGGGCTCTGCTTTAAGAAGTCGATAAATTCTAGAGCATGCTGTGAAGATTATGCCATTTAAGCCCAATTTTGATAAATATTCATCAACCACTTCCTCGTATTTGGTTCTAGGCACTAACTGAGTATAGAAGAAACATCAGATTCATTTCTCCAACCACTGTACTGGCACTTCCCACAGGCCAACTATTATTCTAGACGCAGGGGACACAGCAGCGAGCAAAATAAATTCCCGAACTCATTAAACAACGATGCCAGTTCGTGACGCGCTTCAAGAAGGAAAACAGAAGAGCGTAGTCTAGGAAGGCCTCTGTGATGAGTGGTATTTGAGCAGAGGTTTGAATGACATCGAAGTGAGCCATGTGAATGCATGGGAGAAGAGCCTTCTAGGCGGATGAAACATGAGACGGAAAGGTTCTGCGGTAGGTTTTGTGCCTGGCTCTATTCAAGGAAGAGTAAGAAAGCCAGCATGGCTGGAGCCGAGTGAATAAGGGAGAGAGGAGAAGGAAGGAAGTTGGGTGGACGGCCAGAATATGAAAGTCTCTGGACCACAGCAAAGGCTTAGACTTTTTTTCTGAGTTGATAGGAAAGCGTTACAAAGTTTGGGACAGAGGGAAACATGGTTTGACATGTTTTTAGGGAATCACTTTGTTGGGGGTGCCTGGGTGGCTCCATCCGTGAAGTGTCTGCGGGATCAGGTCATGACATCAGGGTCCTGGGATCGAGCCCCGCATTGGGCTCTCTGCTCAGTGGGGAGTCTGCTTGTCCCTCGCCCTCTGCCTGCTGCTCCCCCTGCTTGTGCTCTCTCTGTCAAATAAACAAATAAAATCTTAAAAAAGAAAAGGTTTAAAAAAAAAGAAAAGGTTTGAGGAGAAAAGAGAATGAGTGAGACAATCACGTAAAAAAGAAACAGTAAGTCCCTGAGCAGCACTCAGGGCCCGCAGGAGGGTAATGGACACGGATTTAAAGAGAAACCAGTTATGAGACTGTCCCGAACTTCCATGCTGAGTGAAGAGATAAGACAAGCACCCAAACATTATTTACTGAGAATTTATTACATGCCTAACATTATCCTATTGAATCCTCTGAAATTTCTGAGGTGTCATCCCTATTTTATAGGGATGAGGGAAGAGGCTTCAAGATGTTAAAGCTAGTGACCAAGGTCAAGCCACACAGCTAGAAACCAGCAGAGCTGACTTCGGGCTGCAGAGCCGCGGACTCGGCGTTCAGCCACCAGGCTGTACTACTTCCACAAGCTGAAGGACTGTCACACGCTCGCCCAAACACACTAATGTGCCAGCAATGACCAAATGTAGGTGAAAAGCATCTGGATGCACACTGAACTATTATTCTTTCAACCCGGATAAGTTTTTTGAATAAAAAGTTGGGGGGGAGACAACAATAATTTGAAGGAAAACAAAAATTAAGTATTTGTAAAAGTAGGTTGTGGAATGATATGGTCCAATTTTGTAAAAGATATAGACTGCTTATCTATCTATCTGTTTATTTATTTAAAAATCGGGAAACTCTGTGGGAATTTCTGCTAATCCCCCTTGGCCAAAAAAAAGGGTCCATGGAAAGAACGGTCATTCTTGGGACACCGGCCGGTCATTGCTTTCTTCCCCCGTGACCTTCCTGTGGTCATAGTCATTATTTACTTATTTATTTATTTGCACACGATCGATACAATGGCCCAGCAGTCACCCGCGTGACCTGGTTCACTCTGGTACACCGCCATCGCAAGAGGTTTGTCCACACTGCAAAAGCAGGCCATGGGTGGGTGATAGGCTAACAGTCCATAGTCCAGACCAGAGGGTCATGGGTCATGAGGCAAATTCTATAGTGCCATGATCTCTGACTTTAACTCCTACTTTCTCTATTGCCAAGCAAATCCCCGACTCTGATCCTTGCTTTAACTGTTATCCCTCTGTCTCACTCTAAACCTGTTCCCTTTACCCACCAGCTCTAGTCCTCTCACCCCAGCCCTTCCCCTCTGGAGGAAAAATCTGGACCCAGTTCTAAAGATCTCCCCTCCGATGATTGACTCTTCCTCTACTTCGCTTCCCGGATCAGCTAATCCTGACCATCTACCAAGCCCGAATATGTGTCAGGACAGAACCACCCAGGCCACCACTCCCCACCCCTCTGCCCTGCCAGCTGTCCCCCTTCCTGAGTCTCTCCTGAGATTATGGACCCTGGAATGGAGCCACGGCTCAGCTTCTGTCTGGTCCTCCCCGGCTTCTCAGCTCCACTTGGCGTAAATGTACAAGAGGGCGCCTGGGAGACCAGAAAAGGGTGTTGTAAGGAGGAGAAAACCCCTATTGCTCACAAGGCCCCTGGAAATCTCCCTGGTGCCTTCTGCTGGAAAGTAGTATGCGGAGGCTTCTACCTCCCGCCCCTCCTCCCTCCGCCCTCTACCCTCTCCAGCCAGTTCTCAAAATAGCTGCTCGGAACACTGGATTTCTAGATTTAGTTTTGGTGATTTGCTGAGGTTGGGGGTGGGGACAGTTAGATCACAGGTTGTTAGCTCCCACACTCTATCTAGTTCTCAGCCCTTTACTGGTGCCTGGTCTCTGCCCCAACCCTCTGGTTGTTTTCCAGAAATTCTGGTTGTTTTCCAGAAATTCGATGAACCGAGGTCCTCTGGTACATCACCTGTAAGCAGTCAGACTCGCTGCACTGTGGGTGAACCAAGGAGGCACGAGGTCCGCTCTGGGCGAACCAGACACTGCTCCGTCAGAGCCCCTGTCCCGCAAACTCCACCTCCCCAGGATCGATGCTGACCCCACAAATCGCTGTGCCCAGGGAGGGTTTCTCAGCTCTCTCTGCCTCACGTCCTAGCCAGGTATGCATTACGAACTCCCGGGCGCCGTTCTGACCAGTAATAACAACAGTGATGTGGGCTGGCAAGTCCTTCCTTTTCCTTATGGGACTCAGCGGGGGAACTCGAAGGAGGAGTCGGGGCCTGCACACGCTACCTCCCCTCACCCTATTAGTAACCACGTGTGTAATACCTTCTATGTGCCAGCCACGTGTCCGCACACATTACAAACACTGGCACGCTGAGTCACTGTGACAGCCCCATAAGATGGCTCTTGTTACTATTCTCATTTTACAGGCATGGAAACTGAGGTAAGAGAGGGTCATTAACTTGCCTACGGTCATAACAGCTAAGAAGTAGCAAAGCCAGAATCTGAATCAAGGCAGTCTGACTCCATGGGGCGCCTGGGGAACTCAGTTGGTTAAGCGTCTGCCTTTGGCACGGATCATGATCTCAGGGTCCTGGGTTGAGCCCCATGTGCAGCTCCCTGCTCAGTGGGGAGTCTGCCTCTCCCTCCCCCACTCCCCCTCCTCCCCGCTCATGTTCTCTCACTCTCTCCCAATCAATAAATAGAATCTTAAAAAAAAAAAAAAAAAAAGACAGTCTGACTATGGAGTCCATGCTTTCGATCGCCATGCTGCTATGCCGTCTCTCCCTGTCTAGCCAAGGAAGGATGGTAGGAAGGAAAGTCCTAGGGATCATGACGTCCCACCATTCCTACCGTCAAGGGCTGGTCTCTCAATCCAGTCCCCAGCCCTACTTCACCTGTGTTCTACCAGGAACATGGAGAATGGTGTCCTGTCCACCCATTATGGGGAAATCTTATTGTAGAACCTGATCCCAGACCATGCCTACTGACTCAGATTCCTACTCCGCCCGCGGAGCTGACCACCCTGATTCTTTTATCTTGACGTGTGTGCAGTGGGCCTCCAGACACACAGTAGGCTGGCCTCGGGGGACAGCTATAACCTGAGGGTATGTTCTGCACTCCCAGGTCCAGATGCTCGCCCGCTCAGGTTCTGAGAATTCCGTGGGTAGGACCGTCCCACTGGTTTCCATTTCGAATGACTTCCTCGCTCACCGTGAGGTCTGTTACTCCACGTTTCTAGTGCGCATGGAGTTTGGTTCAAGTTCAGCCCCATGGTGCACACAGATGAAAAGTTTCCCACTTCTCAACATGCATCAAACACTAATTAGCAACCCCGAGGCCCATCCACTCCCACCTTTCCCCAGAGGGCCCTACTTCTTTCCTTGCCTACCTTCACGTGTTCCTCCTCTCCTCCCCTCTGGGCCTGACGTACCCCAGTGTTCCGTTCCGTCATCTTGGCGGTGGCCAGGTCCCCATGAGTATACGCTTGTTTCCTCTGCAGTTCAAAATTGTCGACTCTCCCTCCCCACGGGAGGAGGAGGAAAAGAAGAGGCAAGGCCTGTTAGCCTAAAGAAAGGCTTTGAGGGCACAGAGTGGGATCCAACACGACACGGCCTCCCTTTCCCTGGACGATACTCCTCCCAGGACATTCGTCAGTGTTCGGATGAATTCCTGTCCTTCCGTCCGAGCTTTGGGTCCCATGCCCCTTTCTGCTTCTCAGGACTCCTTACAGTCAGCCCCCCTCACTCTCATATATAAAACATCTTCCTCTGGGATGCCTGGGAGGTCCAACACTCAGTTGGTTAAGCGACTACCTTTGGCTCAGGTCATGGTCCTGGAGTCCCAGGATCGAGTCCCGCATCAGGCTCCCTGCTCATCAGGGAGTCTGCTTCTCCCTCTGACCTGCCCCCTCTCATGCTCTCTCTCTCTCTCTCCCTCTCTCTCTCAAATAAATAAAAAAAATCTTAAAAAAAAACCAAAACACCTCTCCCTCTTTTTAAAACAGGAAAAGAAGGCTTCTTCAATCTGAATTCCTTCTTCAACTACCATTACAGGGAAAAGAAGCAGGTCTAGGACCACGCATTGAGGAACCCCAATATTTAAAGGTCAGGGGGATCTTTTCAAAAAATATGAAGAGCCATGTAAAAAAAAAAAAAACCCAACAACCAAAAAAACCTCAATCTAAACCTTGCACTTCATAGAAAAATTAACTCCAAATGTATACAAAACCTAAAACTATAAAACTTCTAGAAGAAAATATAGAAAAAAACATTTGCAACCTTGTGGTAGGCAAAGATTTCTTAGATATTCCAAAGATAAAATTCATAAAAGAAAAAAATTGTAAATTAGACTTTGTCAAAATTAAGAACTGCTCTTTGTATTACACATATAGTGTAATACTGGTTTGGGGAATAGAATTTAGTGATTCATCACTTACATACAACACCCAGTACTCACCATAAGTACCCTCCTTCATACCCATTGCCCTTCTAGCCCACCCCCCAACCACCTCCCTCCATCAACCCTCAGTTTGTTCTGTATCATTAAGAGTCTCTTCTGTTTGTTTCCTTCTTTCTTTTTCCCCCTTCCCACAAGTTCATCTGTTTTGTTTCTTAAATTCCATATATGAGTGAAATCATATAGTATTTGTCTTTCTCTGACTGACTTATTTCGCTTAGTATAACACACTCTAGTTCCATCCACGTCACTGCAAAAGGGGAGATTTCATTCTTTTTGATGGCTGAGTAGTATTCCATCGTGTGTGTGTGTGTGTGTGTGTGTGTGTGTGTGTGTGTGTGTGTGACATCTTCTTTTTTTTTTTTTAAGATTTTATTTATTTATTTGACAGACAGAGATCACAAGCAGGCAGAGAGGCAGGCAGAGAGAGAGGAGGAAGAAGGCTCCCCATTGAGCAGAGAGCCCAATGCAGGACTTGATCCCAGGACACTGAGATCATGACCTGAGCTGAAGGCAGAGGCTTTAACCCACTGAGCCACCCAGGCACCCTGTATCACATCTTCTTTTTCATTCATCTGTCAGTGGACATTTGGGCTCTTTCCATAGTTTGGCTAGTGCAGATAGTGCTGCTATAAACATTGGGGTGCGTGTACCCCTTTGAATCTGTATTTTTGTGTCCTCTGGTTAAATACCCAGTAGTGCCATTGCTGGATCACAGGGTGGCTCTATTTTTAACATGAATAGATATTTATTTATCAATATTTAACAAGAACTGCTCTTTGAGAGACAGTCCTAAGAGAATGAAGAGACAAGCTACAGACTGGAAGAAAACATTTGCAAATCACATATTTGACCAAGGACTTGTATCCCAGATAGATAAAGACCTTTCAAAGTCTGGCAACAGGAACGCGGTTTGTAAAAGTGGGCAGGATATTTGGACTTTTCACGTTAGAAGATACGTGGATGACAAACGAGCCCAGGAAAAGATATTTGACATCATTAGTCATTTGGGAAATTCAAACTGAAACCACGCTGAGATACCATTACGTACCTACTAGCATGGTTCTTTGAAACGACAATGCCAAGTGCAGCGAGATACGGAGTGTCTGCAGTTCTCGTACATTGTTGCTGAGAATGAAAAATGGTGCAGCTACTTGGGCAGGTTAGGCACACCTTTATTGCTAACACCAGCAATCCTGTTCCTAGGTATTTACCAAAGCGGAATTAAAACCTCTACCCAGAAACCTGTAAGTGGATGTTTGTAATAGCTTTACTTTTAATCACTAAAAACTGGAACCAACTCAAGTGCCCCTCAACGGAGTTTACTTAAAAAAAAAAAAGGCATGAAGTTAAATGAAAGAATCACACGACATTCTTCTAAAGGCAAGACTATAGTGAAAACCAAAAGATCAGTTCAATGCCTGATAAAGGCTGAGGTCACGGGAGGGGTGACTACAAAGCGGAAGTGGGGAATTCGGGGATGATGAAACTGCTCTGTATCTTGATTGTGGTAGTGGTTTCGTGACTATGTGTTTGTCAAGTTTACAGACCTGGGGCATCTGGACGGCTGAGTCGGTTAAGCATCTGATTCAGTCTGGGCTCCGGTCATGATCTTGGGGTCGTGAGATTGAGACCCAAGTCGGCTCTGTACTCAGTGACGAGTCTGCTTGGGATTCTCTCTCTCCCTCTGCCCACCCCCACCCCACATGCTCTGTCTCTCTGTCTCAAAAATAATATAAATAAATATTTTTTTAATAAATAAACATTTAAAAGAAAGATTCACAGAACTATACACTGATATGGGCAATTTTACTGCATTAAAATTATACCTTAATGTTTTAAGTGTGGAAAACAGTTAAGGACTGGTCAGCAGGCTGGCCAAGACTGAGAAGGACCACTTAGAAAGGTGGGGGTGGCAGGAGGGGAGAAAGGTGGGGGGGACAGGAGGGGCCAGGCCTCTCCCACTCCCCTCTCTTTAAAGCTGAGCTCTCTGAACACTTACCGTCTCCCACTTCCTCATCTCCCACCTCTCCAACCCACTCCAGTCTCACTTCTCCCCCTCCTACTCCACGGAAATCACTCCTCCCTAGATAACCCATACTCTCTCTGACATCCAGTCAAATGCAAAGGCGTGAGCTCCCTTTGGCTTGATCTCTTGAAGCATTCGACGCTCAATCGTTTCACCTTTCTTCTCCCATAGTCTTTCCCTGGCTCCTGAGGCATCATGGTTTTTTCCTGCCTTTTCTCCCATCTTTCTGGGCAGTTCTGCCCAGTGTTCAAGGACCAGAGACCCTCCAGGTTTAGAGCTAGCCTCCCTGCTGCTCTCTCTTCCTAGATGATGCTACCTATACCTCTGACTTGTTATCATTTCTGCCGGTTCTGTCCGGTAGCCCCCAAGTCTGGCCTCCAGCCTGTTTTTGTAGGGTTCAGCAGCAGGACCCGCTGTTTACAACTTATCCTTGGCACGACATCAGCAGAGCCAAATAGTTGTGACAGAGGCCATATAGGTCCACGAAGCGAATACTATTTAGTATCCGGCCCATGACAGAGAAAGCTTGCGGTAGAACGTTTTGCGGCGTTTTCTATCTGTGCGGTCTAATGCACGCGATCCACTAGACACGTGTGGCTCCTGAATGCTTTGCAATGTTTCTAGTGCAACCGGGGAACAAGACTTATAATTTGTTTTTAAGATTATATTTATTTATTTGACAGACAGAGCACAAGTAGGCAGAGAGGCAGGCAGAGAGAGAGAGAGAGGGAAGCAGGCTCCCCGCTGAGCAGAGAGCCCAATGTGGGGCTCGATCCCAGGACCCTGGGATCATGACCTGAGCCGAAGGCAGAGGCTTTAACCCACTGAACCGCCCAGGCATCCAAGACTTACAATTTTATTTAATTTTAACTAATTAGTCAATCATCGTTGGTCAAATAATTAATAAAGAGGAGAGCGACGTGCGGCTAGAGGCCACGACGACACTGCACACAGAGCCACTGAGGCCTCCACGCGCATCTCTCTCTCCCAGACCTCTCCTCCGTGTTTCAAAACACCTCCACCGTATGTTTACAGAAACCTCAAGCTGTAGGGGCGCTTGGGTGGCTCAGGCGGTGAGGCCACCGTCTCTTGATTCCACCTCAGGTCACGGTCTCAGGGTCATGGGATCGAGCCCCGCGTCCAGTCTGCTGGTCCCTCTCTCGCTGCCCCCCACTCCCAGCTCCTGCTCTTCCTCTCTCTCCCTCCTTCAAATAAATAATTAAAATCTTTTTTAAAATCTTAAAAAAAAAAAAAAAGAAAAAAGAAACCTCAAGCTCTATGTGTGTCTCAAACTGGACTCATAAGCCTACTGACCCAACCGAGGCTTCTGCAAATATTCTCTATCTCATCTACTTGTACAAGCCAGAAACCTGGAAAGCCTTCTTGACACCTTCCTCCCATCGCATTCCATATCCGGTCGGTATGAACTCCTGTTAACTTTATCTAAGTATCTCTTACCCCATTCACTTCTGCCCACCGCGCCGGCCCTCAGACGGTTGATTCCTACATGGGCCACTGCAATAGCCCAAGCGGTTACTGACGCCCGTAGAGTAAGTGAAATCCTTCCTGTGGCCATCAGGGCCCCATGTCTGCAGTCTCTGATTACTCCGGTAACCTCGTCGCTGGAGCATACCTTGCCCCTTCCCACCTCAGGACCTTGGCGCACGGTTCTCCTAGCCCTGCTTCCCTGTTATTTGGTTAATTCCTACTTATTTAACAGCTCCCCTCACGGGCACCTTCTCCCAGGAAGCTCTTCTCCACTCCCCCGACTCAGCGAGGGCCTTCATTATGTTTTAATAGCTCCCAGGTTTCTTCTTGGTAGCACTTATGACTCACGTAACTAAGTAATGATTCCGTAGTTAGAACCCGAATGTATTGTCTTCCACTTCTGTGCAAGTTCCTATGCGGGTAGGGGCTGTATCTGTCTTCTTCTCTGCTGTACCCCCAGGGTCTAGCACTAGGCCTTA